GCCACACATTTGCCACCACTTTATTCTCGGCGATCAATTCGTTGACACTATTAGTAGTGGTCTTTGTGTCGAAGAGTAGTCGCAAGCCATCGCTGCTGCGGCTGTTGAACATCTGGCGACTGTCGGCTCTGGGGGTCAAGTCATGGTCGCCGTCGTCTTCATCGTCGGTGTTGTCATTGTCTGCAGTGAATGCGAAATTGTTGGGCAGAGACGCCATTTTCATCAGCGGTCGCCTGATATTCAACTGTCGCTCGCGTTTGCGCCGATCGATGGCGTCCCGAATGGCCCGCTTCTCGGCCTCCATCTCTTTGGCGATCACCAAATCGATCTCATAGTCTTCGTCCTCATCCATCTGTTTGTGCGACTCTTCCAAGTGTTTCATCAACACTGCGATCACAACATTGACCAAAACAAACTGTGCCATCAGTACGAACACCACGAAATACATCGGCGCTATGATGGGTGATATGCAACAGTTGATCAGACAGTCTTCAGACGCATCGCATTTGTCACGGAGTGTGTCCTTCAATGAGAGTAGAAATGTTTGGTTAGTTTGTGCGGTGAGGGTATGGGTTGGGGGTAGGGATGGGTTGAGAGGGTGTATACCTTCATAATACCGTTCCAGTTGTCACCGGTGGCCACCCGGAAGAGCGTTAGGAAAGCCATACCGAAGTTCTGGAAGTGGGCGTGTTCTCCGAGACCCTGACACGGATTGTCTTCATTGCATTCTGCGGTTTAATACAAACATAATCAGTATTTTTATGATATTCTGTGTGCTATCGTTAGATAAGGTGGAGGACAAGAATGACAGACCTAATCGGCCGAAGAGTTCGGTGCCTAAGGCCGAGAAGATGAAGAAGAGAAGGAAGAAGAGTAGACCGAGATTTCCGACTTGCGGTAAGGCCTGCATAACGGTGTCCAACAGCTGGCGGATCCCTTTGGCCATCTTCAGCAGCTTCAAGACGCGCGCGATTCGCATGACTCGCATCACACGAATGATGGTTGGATTGATGGGAATGAGAGTGGACTCCATCTCCTCCAGAATGATGCCCAGAATGGAAAGCATGACAATAATCACATCCAATTGATTCCATTTGTCTGCGAGGTATCGCTTGATGCCCAACGCCATCGCCTTCATCATGGCTTCGACCACGAATACACACGTGAAGACAAAGTTAAACAGTTTCAGTGTATTCTCCAGTTCCTGAGAGAGAGAGAGAGAGAGAGAGAGAGAG